CCACCTCCCTGGGCAGCTTATTCCAGTGGCTGACAACCCTTTCAGAGAAGAAATACTTCCTAACATCCAACCTGAATCTCCCCTGACTAAGCTTATACCCATTTCCTCTTGTTCTATCACCCATCACTGATGTAAAGAGCTTGCAGCTGAGCGCACTGCCTGCAGCATGCCATAGTCGAGTACTGCGCGTGTGTGTGTGCGCACAAGCGAGTGTGCACAGCACGTGTGTGTGCAGCGCTTGCAGCTGAGCGCACGCCTGCAGCACATTGTAGTCGGGCACTGCGTGTTTGTGTGTGTGTGCACAGCACATGTGTGTGCAGCACTTGCAGCTGAGTGTGCTGCCTGCAGCACGTTGTAGTCGGGCACTGCGTGTTTGTGTGTGTGTGCACAAGTGAGTGTGCGCAGCGCTTACAGCCGGGTGCTGCGTGTGGTGCTTGCAGCGTGTGTGTGTGCAGCGCTTGCAGTTGAGCGCTGCCTGCAGCACGTCATTGTCGGGCAGTGTGTGAGTGTGCACGAGTGAGTGTGCGCAGCGCTTACAGCCGGCACTGCGCGTGGTGCTTGATGCTTGCAGCGTGTGTGTGTGTGTGTGCAGCGCTTGCTGCTGAGCGCACTGCCCGCAGCGTGTTGTAGTCAGGCACTGCGTGTTTGTGTGTGTGTGTGCACAGCACGTGTGTGTGCAGCGCTTGCAGCTGAGCGTGCTGCCTGCAGCACGTCGTAGTCGGGCACTGCGTGTGTGCAGCACTTTGGTCGGGCACGCTCACTTGCTGAACTGGGGCTGTGCCATTCCCAAAATGAGGGGTGTAGCACAACAGTGTTTAACCAGGGCGCTCTGTTACAGCATGAGGTGGGCACGGTGGTGGGGAACACACATTGTGGTGTGCAACACACGTTGTGGTGTGCAAGCATCACGTGTACTCGCCTCTCCCAGCAGCAGCACTGAAACCTGCACACGCTGCTGCTGCACAGTTGGCTCGCTGGATGTGTGCACGGGGACTGCAGTGTGTGTGTGTGTGTCGGGGACTCGGTTTTGTGATTCACAGCCCCAAAGCTCGGGCAGCGTGTGTGTAAACACAACTGAGTGTGGTCAACTCCCCTCCCTGTGCACACGCACTGCACGGGGCCCCTCTCAGCACTGGTGCTTGGTCTGTTGCAGGCACTGAGCGAGGAGATCAAGAGCATGCACGGACTGCGCATCTTCACCTCCACCCCCAGGCCCCGGTGATGCTGCTTGTGCTGTGCCACTGTACCCAGCAATAAAGATGCTGCCAGCAGGGCTTGTGCTGGGGGGGCTGCTGCAGTGTGTGCCTGCCCACCCTCCTATCTAAAAATTCATGCCTGTGTTTTCAATTAGGCACCTGGAGCAGGGCTGGGGGGGGCTGCATAACACCTGGGGCAGGGGGGAAAAGAAGAACAGGAATCCCTCTCTAAGAAGAACAGGAAGGAGAAACTTTATTATTGCCTCACCCCCCAGGGCAGAGTCCCTCCCTTGGCCCCCCCACCAGGCTGGGAACACCAGAGCTGCTCTTTCCAGCCCAGAGGGACAGGCACTTTTTCCCCCCCCCCACAACATGGCTGCTGCTGCCAAAGGGGGAGCTTAAGGCTCTGAGTGCGTCTCAGCCCATAAAAGCACTTCAAAAATAAAGCTGAGCCCCTCTGCTCTCGCCCAGGGGGAGCACAGCCTGGGCTTGACACTGCTCAGTGCTGGGGCCATGGGGTCCCGAGGAAAACTTGGCCACTGGGAGTAGAAAAATCAGCTGTGCAGCACTCAAAGGTCACCCCATGCTTGCAGGAAACAAGCCCTGAGTCCCAGACTGCAGTTCTGGCCTGACCTGAGCACGGAGCGTAGAAAACCAAGCAGATTACACAGGGTGTCACCACAGCGCAGCCACCGAC